GTCCCTGTGGAAACGATCTTGGTACTATACCACTCTATTACTTGAAGCGATCATAGTGTTGGCGTGCACTTGCACCGCCACTTTGGGGACTTTGTGCCCACTGTGTGCACACTTACGATTCTAGCACACCAGGTACCATTTTTTGAAAGACAATGTTGAAAAAGGGAATATCGAAATGTATTTTGTTCCCACTGAGATTCAACTTACTGACATTTTCACAAAAGCTCTTGATGAGAAAAGATTTTTATTCTTAGTCAGCAAGATGGGTATGCTGAATCTCACCACTTAAAGGAAATATATATATATATATATATATATATATATATATTTAAATCAGAGATTTTCAATATCTCATGGTTATGCCTATAAGTGATATATAAAATATTTTCCATAAACTTCAAGTATCCTAAACCAGAGCCTCTGGCCATACATACCAAAGCCTTTGGCCATTTAGAATCACTTCGATTAATATTTGACAAACAATCTTCATCGTCTTTGGAACCAGAGCCCCTCTGGTCCAAAGCAAATACTTAGTTTTTGTCCACTAAGTATTACCTTCTCAACCAGAGCCTCTGGTTCTAAAGACTAGAGCCTTTGGTTTCCAAAACCTTTGAAACTAGCGATATCAAGTTCCCATCTACAACTTGACATACACCACACCCTTCTTTCATCAAACCCTAACATCTCTACATCAACCAGAGTCTCTAGTTCTAAAGACCAGAGCTTCTGGATTCCTACTCTTTGCAACCAGAGCCTCTCTGGACCCAAAGAGTCTCCCTCTTCTCACTTCACATGGACTTAATCATAGTTTCATACTTCATTTCATCATCTTTAAGACCAGAGCCTCTGGTTCTAAAAGACCAGAGGCTATGGATTCAAAGTCTTTGGAACCAGAGCTCCTCTGGTCTCAAAGGCTCAACCTCTATACTCTTTCCCATACCCTTAACCATTCTCTCATACATCTTTTTCCTTGTCTTTGTAACCAGAGCCTCTGGTTCTAAAGACTAGAGCCTCTGGATTCATTGTCTTTGGAACCAGAGCCCCTCTAGTCTCAAAGACCCATCTATATACCTCTTCACTTGCATACTTAGCCACATTGCATATCTTAATTTCATCATT